ATATATATATATATATATATATAATTGATTAGTAATATTTCGAACCAAAAAGTGTCGAACACGAACACATTTTTGTTCGTGTTCGGCATGTTAACTTAGCGAACGAGTCGAACATGAGCAAATGTTCGTGTTCGGCACATTAACTTAGGGAACGAGTCGAACATGAGCTTCTTAACGAGCCGAACACGAGCTATTCGCGAACAACGAGTCGTTTTGACAGCCCTAATTATAACCACCATCCTTGAACTAGCCACTAATATTATCATTCATAACATAAACTATAACTCAATATTAAAACCATTGATGTCATTATAATAACTTTTAATGCGCCTTTTAGGGTACTAAAGCCATTGGCTTATCAAGGATCATAGCTTGATCTACATCCTAGAAACTAAAATAAAAATTGTAAAGCTATGATCTCTTGATTTCTCTAATTTTTTTGAGAAAAATACTATGTCTTTCTACTTTAGTTATATGTTTATGATTAAGTTTGAGATTGGAAATGCTAGTGTAAACTAGATCCAAGATCACACTTTATTTTGGTGTCTTACAAATTATAATTTGGTACCATCCAAAGGAAACTTTCCAACCCATCCTGAATATTATTAGGTTTAAGAACCTTAACACCCTTTATATAAGTATCATAATTAAACTATTTGATTAGCTACTACATTCTTCATGGAGAATAAGGAGACACGAGGAGCAAATGTAAGTAAAAAAGTGACCAATTGATACGAACTAAATGTTGTGAAGCACTAGTAAATCTCATAAGTATATGTGTAGTTCTAGTATTATATGGAACAAAATCTTTGTATCAATCCCATAAAGAACGAGTGAACATCCATATATATATATATATATAGACACACACACACACAAACACAGACATGCATACATTTGCATGTATAATTTTTTTTTTTTTTTTTTGTTTCAACTTATAAATTTTGCCAGTTGAGTTTGAGCTAGTCAAGTAATTACATACTTGTAGGGCTGTCAAAACGGCTCGTTGTTCACGAACAACTCGTGTCGGCTCGTTAAGAAAGTCATGTTCGACCCGTTCACTAAGTTAACGAGTCGAACACGAACAAAGATTTGTTCATTCGTGTTCGGCTCGTTTTGCTTCAAAATACTACTCATCATATATATATATATATATATTGTAGAGTAGTATTTTTTAAAAATTTAATTGACTACAAGGCTAAAAAGATTTATAATCAATTAAAAGTATTAATTAAAAAAATAGAACAAAAATTATTAAATTAGATTCAAATGATGTTTTAATATAAACAATAATTTTTAAATCTTGTCACAATTCTTCACATCTTGTAGCTACGTGATTGAGATTGTCTAAACGACTCTATTCTTGAACGGGCGAGCCGAACACGAACACACTTTTTGATTTCGAAATATAAACGAGCCGAACACAAGCTGAGCCTGGGTTCACTCGTATCCGGCTTGTTTACACCCCATGATACTCGACTCCAAAGTCTCTTTGAATATGAATTTGAACATCATTTCAATTCCCTCAATTATCTTCTCAATTCCTCAATCAACATATTATTGAATTGACATTGCACTCCATCTTAAATTCGTATGATGATCTAATCTTGAAATCCCATTATTATAAATATAAAATAAATTCAGTATCATCAAAATGATCTCAATACTCATCATGGCATCAAATGCCCAATCCTATCACCTCTGTTCCATACAAAAAGGCTATCAGATTAATAAGCCACGATTGTGATAAATGGAATGCGCCCAGGTTATTTGGCAACCAAGGAGTACATTCCAGCACAACTTCCCGCACGGCACGTCTCTATTGGCTCCTTTTCTTCAACAGTTGGAATGCATGTAGCTGTCAGCATATGTTCTGTATCCCACTACTATTATTCAGATTAAATTGAACAGGCGGTTAAGAACTTGCTCTAGAAAACGAAGAAAAAAGCTAAAGCATAGTTTTGTACGATCATAATGATATGTAATCCACCCATTCGCTGTCCATAAATTCATCCGAGCATCTTGTTGTAATAGTCTATTTCACAATTCTTATGTTTTTATATATTTAAAAGATAAACATTCATATTTACATGCATATGACTCGTATCTTTAACATTACATCTAAAATATCACGGTCACTATCATTTTAAAAGTGAAATACATTTTTTTCACGTGCAAGTTTGAGACACCGAGTGTTATAAATGTAAATATCAAATTTGGAATGTTTGATATGTAAATACATGAGAATAAAGTGGTACGTTTGTAAATTTCCGTAAATGTAATTACCCGTTGAAAGAGCCCTGCAAAATTATAATCAAGAATGCACAGAAAAAGAAGATAACATTTATAAAATATTTAAAGATGCAACTCAAATAAAAAAATAAATGCGTAGCGTTATGTTGTGGATGGAAACTCATATGCATCTGTGATGCCATTCTGTACAGAAAAAAATAACTTCCTTCAAAAAATGTCAGCAATTTTACAAATTTCAGTTGGTTTACACTACTTAACCTCATTAGAATTAGCACAGAAGTTCCTGCAAAAGACACAGCTGAGCAGCATAATACAAAAAAGAGAATATTCAATGCCAAAAAGCATCTCTTATTAGGGTAGGTATCATCTTTGTCAACACAAGTTTACACATACTTTGTCTTTCGCTTTCCCGAGTCTCTCCGGTGATTCTTATGATATTTCGAGTTCTCTTTCCTGCTTTTGTTGTCAGATTTTTCGCTTCTTGGGTTTTTCTTCTTTTCATAATGATACTTCTTTGATTTGCACTCATCAGTTGCCTCTCCTTCATGTGAAGGATGAGATTTAAAAAAATATGGCTTTTCTGGACCAAGAATACGGCGCTTTTTTTCCTCCCCAATACTTTTGGCAGGACTAGGAATCAGTTCATCAAGATCAGCAGATGTTGATGGAAGATATGGACCTGGCTCATCCATTCTACAGCCAACAGATCCTCTCCCTCTTTTCACCCTGGTAAAATTCAAAAATAATAGTCATCAAACTGCAAAATAAAAGATTTGTGAGGATGAAAACAAGACTATGTGACATGGCCAACCTTGAATGAAGGAATTCTTCAATATCATCATCCTGAAGACCAATACCGTCTCTAGAATGAGAATCTTCAGAATAATATTTACTGGATGAACAATTGATCGAGGAATCTATCAGACCATCTTCAAGCCAGGGCTTAGAAACTTCATTTATGTAACCATTTCTCGCATTCATGATTCTGCTGTTGTCTCTTGATTTATTATGCCTTTGCTTAGCATCCAACTCGCATTCTTTCTCTCTAGCACGCCACATTTCGCTAATTTCAGCAGCTCGATTAGCTGAAATGAGGAAGGTCAACACTGGTAAGAAGTAGATAAACAATACAACAAACATTGGGGGGAAATTATATTTGATCCTCAAAGTTTATAAGTGCAGTCCATTTTTGTTCATATTTTTAAAAATCATATACTTGGGTAGCTGCCGTTTTTTGGTTATATGTCAGTCGGTGCGAGCGATGAATTATAGTGATTCTTAGGGTTTTGTACAGCTTGAATGTCAAACCTGTATATTTGAAACAATTGTCACTTTACAAACTTCGTTTGTTAAATATGTTAATGTGTTCTTACATTTATGTGCTTTAGCATTTTATTCTTATTTCAAATGGGTAATTCCATAGAATGTGGAAGGAATACAAATTTAGAACAATGTTTTTGTATCATTTTTATGAAGGGTTTAAATGAAAAATCTTGTTTCAGGCTCTTCTATCTTAGCTTTAACTTTTGCCATTGTTAGCTGCATATAAAGATTGAAGTGTTCAAATTGAATCATTTACAAACAACAACAAAGACTTAATCCCACCACATGGGGTCGGCTACATGAATCAGTCATTTACAAACAACAACAAAGACTTAATCCCACTACATGGGGTCGGCTACATGAATCATTTTTCTCCATTGCGTCCTATTTAGAGTCATATTTTCATTTAGTTCTAATAAATTAAGATCATTTTTTATACAAGAAGCCCAAGTCTTCCTAGGTCTACCTCTGCCTTTCTTAACATAAGTCGAATCTAAAACACCTACTCTCCTAATCAGATCATCAGATGTCCAACGTTTAATGTGACCAAACCATCCAAGACAATTTTCTCTAATTTTCTTCATCGCAAGAGCTACACCAACCATATCACGGATATATTCATTTTGCATTTTGTTTCTGTGTAAAGCCACTCATCCACCTAATCATTCTCATCTCGGTAACACTTAACTTAGTATTATGCTTCTCTTTTAAAGGCCAACATTCAGTGTCATAGAGCATTGTAGGTCTCACCACAATCTTATAAAATTTTCTTTTCAATTTACGTAATACTTTTCTATCACACCCAAAGCATTCCTCCACTTCAACCCCCAACTTGAATTCTACTATTAACATCCCCATCTATATCACCATCGCTTTGAACAACAGACCCAAGTTATATAAATCGTTCACACCTTTTAATAATTCGATCACCCAAAGTTACACTTCTGTCACTAGAGCTACTACTACTAAAATTGCATTCCATGTATTGAGTTTTAGTTCTGCTCAAATGAAGGCCTTTAGACTCCAATGTAGACCTCCATAATTCAAGTTTTTCCTCGGCTTTTTCTCTTGTGTTATCCACGAGAAGAATATCGTCATCAAAAAGCATACACCAAGATACATCGTCCTGAAACTCATCATTTACAATGAACAAAAATAAAAATAAAACAATAGATTAGGATTTAAATATATCGCGCAAAATCTTACACTCAACTACAATATTCTCCAAAAGATTTTAAAGCATAAAAATTTGGTTGAAAAAAAAACAAGATTAAATGCATTTAAAACATATATGAAGCCATGAGGAGAAAATATCTGCAGGTTTTATCACTTAGCCTGTAAATGGAACTTCTAAACATTTCATTTTCCGTAAAACATAAGGCTAGACATAAGGCTAGAGGCATCAGCAGGCTTCAAAGTGTAAATTGCAAATTGCAGGCAGAATTTACACCGCAATCTCTACCACCATTGCCATGATTTATATAAAGCATTTTAGCAGTCAATATAATTTCTATCAATTCCAACAAGGAATCGTTCGCTAGAAGCGCAAAATCAACCTCAAGAACCACAAATATAAGACTTCTAAAAGCATGTCCTAAAGTGAAGAACAACCAAAATTTCATGGACCTGAGTGTAATTTATCCATAAAACTAAGCTAATAAAATGCAAAAAGAATTTCACGTCCTTCAAAATCTTTGGACATATCTAGATTAGTTTATTTCAAAATTCTGCATATTCAAATTAAGCACGATAATGGAATTGGATGACTCTTGAGCCAAACTTTAATCAGTGTGGACAATCTAACACGAGATCAATAAGTACTGGTAGGCACAATTATTTCTAAAGCCTCAACCCCAATTAAAGACACAATAAAATCATTCCAGGTTCAATATTCAAAATAAGAAAACCAAAAGACCCTCTAAGAATGACAGCTGAAAAAAACTGATGCATAGATTACGTTGATTAAAAGGTTGAAGTTCAGTGTATCTCATGGAAGGCGAAAAAAAGCGATAAAAATGCATAGATTAGTTTGAATCATAAGTAGGTTAATTATATAAATAAACTTACACATAAGACAATTGATTAAATGAAATGGAAATAGCTAGCATCTAAATCATAACCTATTGATGATAATCATTATCATTAACTTAAAATGACTCTCCTCTCAAATTTTTTATTGGCTGCTGTGTAGAATTGACAACTAATCTTTACATTAATAGTCTACAAGGACATGTTCCTGCAACCTTAAATGTTACCTCAGAGCTACGTAACACATAAGAATCTAAATAGAGCCCATGCCTTTTTCATGAACGAAAAATGAGAATTAAAAAATCTAACCCCAAATGACAGGATGAGGCAAATGATGGTGAAGATTCCACCTCATCATACATAGCAAAAGTTTTTTACCAGCTAATATCAGTTAACAGGAAAAGCGGTCCCATCGATGCACTCATTTCATTCGGCAATTATACAAATTATTGAAGTGTTGCTAAAACATAGTTCACTAGGTTTGTGTGGTTCTTAGGCAAGTTCAAGCCTATAAAACATTAGGGATTAGTGCTGCTAAATACAAGTTTACACGTTGCCCATAGCTTTTTTATTAGCAATCTCAGCTAATGAACTATATAGCATCTTATACTGCCACGTTGGTACATGGAATTTGTAGATTTATTTCTTCTAAAGTTTAATGCTCCAAAAGGAGTATTTGTATGTAAAGAAAAAAAATGCAGACCTCACTTAAACACAAGTTCTGGATAGGATTGAAAGGTAAAAGTATATAAACAAAGAGAGATTTGAAGAAATTTCAACAGTCTGCAGTCCCTTTTTGTCTCTTAACTATCGTGAGGCTTGCACTACGGAATAAGGAAAATACAGAGGCGTTAATCAAGCTTCAGGTAACATAGAAAAGACTAGTAATCGATCAAGAGTAAAAATGCTGCTAGTGAATATCTATATCTAAAGGTGTCAGCAAAAATAGCATCTGGTTGGCATTTTGACATGACAAGTGCATGATAATGACATAAAACGGGTGGTAGTTAATCAATCACATAAATGAGCAAAAGAATGGTAGAGCCAAACTCAAAATGTCAAGTAGATCTACAGTAACGTCAAAAGAAATACTGTAGGAAGATGATCGGATAAAGCATGACTTAGGAAATTAGAAAATGTAACTTGTTGCATGAGATAATCAGAAAAAAGATGACAAAAGCTGTGTAGATTTGGCATACATCATTTGCCTATCCTGATAAGAGAAGAAGGTTTCTATAATGAGCCTCACACATAATTATTGGCCTTTGGAAATTTAGATAAAGTCAAAATTGAAAGATAATATAATTCAAGGAATCTAAATAGTTCATCCTCCACAATTATCCTGCTAAGTACGAAGTTATCAGACGTAGCTCCTGAATCCCAACCATTTAGGAGATGTATAAACTAATAATCAATGGCATAGGATAACATGGAGAAATTTACAAAGTTGAAAAGCTCTTAATCGTCTTAGATAGGCTGTTAAGAAAAGTTTTATGTCCATCTTAAGCGCTTATAAAAATTTGAAGAGGTATTGGAGATATTGAAGTGGCAAATCTTTTTAATCAAATTTTAAAGAAGGGATGCCAAATAATTGAAAAATAAATAATTTAGCACTAATAGTCTGATATTTAAGAACAATAGATATATCCAAGATTATAAGAAATTAAAATTATACAATAATAGGATGAAATAATGGGAGAGGGTAATATATTATGTACTACGAAAGCTAAGTCACTATCAAACAATCAATTTTATTTTATTCCAAAAAATTTACTATAGAAGAGATTTTTCTTGTTCAAAAAATTAACAAGAAAGCATAAAGAGCATAGAAAATATATTCATATAATTTTATTGATCTTGAGAAGACACAATCGAGTACACCATCAATATTATCCAAGGAAAGTAACTGCTCAGCTAGACACTTGAGCAAAGATAAGACGAGGTGACACTACAACGCTTAACATCTCCCAGGTGGCTATCATCACCACAACACTGCCTAGGTGAATGAAGCTTGACGAACATGCACTATCCATTGCGTAGCTTTTTTAAACTGATTCTTAAAGTATGCAGAACCACATAATATGACGGAATACAAATCTAATGATGGAAAAGAAGGTATGGGTAATGAAAAAGATGAATAAATGGAGCAAATATTAGATTAATTGTATGCTATGAAAGCTATCACCTAAATATTTATTTTGTTGTTTAAACTTGAAACTTAATTCATGAACCTTATGAGATGTATATTTTGGACATTCTATTTGATAAGAATTTATTATTTTGCTATTTGGAATTACACAAAATTATTTTTTGAATGCCACATTTATATATTTTATTGGGATGATTCTTATATCGTACTAAAGTATTCCTCATTATTATTGTATTAGTGCCTCTCTTTGCTCGCCAAGAACTTTGGTTAGGCAACCATGTTACCTTTAATTACAATGAATATCATAAGAATTAATTTGATGTGCAGTAAATAAAACACCTTTACATACAATGAATAGCAGAAGCATCGATTTGATGTGCATTAAAGAAGAATGATGTGTCAAAGATATGCAAAAGTTCATGATTCTCTCTCTCTTTATATATATAGTTGTAGAGTGAACAATTGAGATATTTTCAGCTACAATAGATTTATAAAAAAAATCAATATCAAATCTAAAAATTTTATTGCATTAATTAGAGAGATGCTGACAAATGACATTCAAAGTGTGATTTATTTGTGTATGCTTTTCTAAATAACATAGATTCAAACAATGCAATGTCTAATAAAAAAAAATGAAATTTTTGAATACCAATAAAAATATTTATAAAATAAAGGGCTTAGAATCAGTAGAGCAAAAATAAAATATATTATATGCAATTTTATTGTGATATTAACAATTACCAATCAATATTAATATTACTAAAGATAAAGTGATAATTAAATATAATAGATATATGTAATTTTGATTTTTTTTATAAAAAAATATGAATATAAATAATGATATAATTTCTATAATTAAGGATGGATTTTAAAAAAGGAACAATACCTCAAGCATAGTATGTGCCTAAGAGGGCATCATTGAAACAAATGAGAAACTTCATAAAATCATAATTAGGCAAATAATATCATATGAATTGAAGCGTTGAGTGGAAAGAAGAGCCATTGATGGCTAAATTGATGTGATGGAAATAAGAATGTCATCATGAATGTGTAGTAAAACTAAAAAAAGGGATAAATTGAGGTGCTCTTAGTAGAGAAATGATTAAATTTACATTTATTGAAGATAAACTAAACTTAAGTGGTTTTGACATTGATAACATAAGAGTAGGTAAATGTACCCTTTAGAAGGGTGGATAATCTCTTAGTAGAGAAATGATTAAATTTATATTTATTGAAGATAGACTAAACTTAAGTGGTTTTGACATTGATAACATAGAGTAGGTAAATGTACCCTTTAGAAGGGTGGATAAGATTTGAGCTGTAGTAATAGGATTAAAATGGATAGACCTAAAGATAAAATGGATAAAGGCAGCAAAAATTGATAAGCAATGAGAAGACTTAACACCTTAGGTAGCACTCAAAAAAACCAATAGAAAATTAGGATTCATAAAGCAAATCTAGAATAACTAAGATAAAGCTAATAACAATGATGATGCTATAGCTTGAAAGTTAAACCAAACTTCCTGTGAAATAAATTTGATGCTTGCATTCATAAATTGTGATCTTGTCGACGCATGCGAAGTTAAAATAAATATTAATGAAAAGAAAATCGCTCTAAAAAATGAAAAAAAAAATACTATTACTGAGACATAAATATTATTTAGTAAGAAAATTCAAAGTTTAAGGTTTCAGTGATATCAATGGTAGATTGAAATTCTAAGTTATAAAAAGAGAGTTCCAAAATAAATAAGTTGAGAGAATGGAAGACAGAATTAGTTTAAGAAACAACTAAATAAGATTTTAAGGAATAGAAATTTTTAACAGAGAAAGCTAAATCAATTTATGAAGTATATTGTTGATACACCTAGACAAAGTGTCATTAAGCTAGCTGTAATTATGATGCAGAGGTAAAGCTGGAAGTCTATAAGGAATATGTAATTACATTTAAAGAGTTACAAGATATTAAAATAATATGGTTTAACAAATATTATCAATGAAATAATAGAGTTAAAGGACCTGATAATTGAAAGAAATGCTTTTTAAGGAGTACACATCATATATCAAAATAAAGTGTGTGCACTTTATATTGATTGTGATAATACTTACAAAAGAAGTTCAACATAAGATTCGCAAGTCTTTGCCACTAAAATATGACATGGATCTGATTGGTGCCACACCTTACGCATTAAATAAAAAAATTGAAAAAAATGGAAGAAACATACTCTTTATATTAATTGTAAAGATATTTATAAAAGAAGTTCAAAATATTATTCTTAAGCGTATGCTACTAAAATATGGCATATATCTAATAGGGTGTCCGATCTTATGAATTAATTGCGAAATTTTAAAAATAGGGGAAACTTGTGAAAATAAAAGGTTAAGAATTTGATAGAATAAAGATCGCGAATATGATATGCACTTTCAGCTACTTTGAAATAAATAATTATGAATTGATTATGAATTGAAATAAAAGGGATGAAACTTATCAAAATAAAAAAGGTTAAGGACTTGATAGAACAAAGATCACGAATATCATTTCAAATTTTAGTTAATGCGAAATAAATAATTATGAATTAATTTATTAGAATGATTAAAGATGCATTGGTGTGAGGTTTAACCATCATATATATGTATGTATGTATGTATGTATGTGCATGCATGCATGTACATACATACATACATACATATATAAGCATGTACATACATACATAAATATGTATGTATATATAAATGCATATACATACATATATTATATATATTTATATGTATGCATATATGCATACATGTATATAAATAGAAGCATTTACATACCACACAATTCTTAAGCATAAAATATTTAATACCTAACATATTTACATGCATACCACTCAAATCTCTAACATCACATCAAAAATACCACCATCAATGCAATTTTATAAGTGAAATACACATTTTCATGCATAGCTTCATGACACCAAAATATTATTAAGTGTATATATTAAATTTGGGTGTTAGATACGTAAATACATAAGAATTGGGTGGTATGTATGTAAATTCTATCTATATCTGTATGTATATATATATATAGAGAGAGAGAGAGAGAAAGAGAGAGAATTTACATACATACCACACAATTCTTATGTACATATGCGGATAAGTTTTAGTTTTAATGCTAAGAAAAACGCAAATAGAGCATTATGGAAACTTAAATAATAAAAACAATAACTTCATTGACTTTGTCATATGAATTTGAGTGTTAGGCAACATGGAATTTATTCATAACAAAGCTGAGCATGACCAAAAAAAATATGTTGCAAAAAGTGATAAAATTAGAAAAGGATCGGCTGGAAGCAAGTACACAGAAAAGGATAAATGGCTTGAATAAAAAGAATATTGTGTATAAAGAATATTTAAGAGGTTAGGTATGCACAACAAAGGGAAGGAAATTCACAAATAAAGCAATATATAGAATTAAGATGAAAGGAACTAGAAAAAAAAAATGTAAATTACAATTAATATGGTTAGAATTTATGTAAAATGATTTTGTAGGCTACACTTAAATCTCATGTGGTCATCAACATGAACGAATGGAAGAGGATTCCAATAGGCAGCACCAAATAGTTGGGATAAGACTACTAATATTGATGATAATGAAGATTATAGGTCTACCCAACAACACTTTAGACAATGGACTTTATAACTTCATATCATAAGCGTGAACCAACTTAGACAAATTTAAGAAAATATATATTTACAAGACTTAGAAATGTATATTAACTAAATGAAAAAGAGTCGACTTTAGATTAAGTGAAATTTTAGAGAGCCACACACATAAAGATGTTATAAAATCACTCTATCCTTGTTGCAGGAACATCCTCATTCAACAATAAGGAAAACAATAAGTCTGTTTCCTTGAAAATTTCCCATCCTCAATGTTTCTTTATATTTTTTTCCCAAATTATATTTATCTAGTTCTTCTTGCCACACAGTTGAACCAACAGATAAGAACACCACATAACCAAAAAGAAAAGTTTCATAAAATTCATCTGACCATATCAACTTTTGTTGTGTCTATAAGCAAAGTTCAAAGAGAAAAATTAGTGAAATAACATTTCTAACCTTGTTCAACACCAAGAACAGTAGCAGTCAGAAAGCGTGAATTTGGGCGGCCTCTTACATTGGGCTTTTGGAGATAAATATGCACGCCATCTTTTTCAGCCTCACGTCGCAATCTCCTAGCCTCTTCCATCAATAAGGCAGCTAGACGGTTCTCTGTCTCTAGATCCATTGATATTCTTAGGGCCTGTAAAACAAAATTGCTAACTCAGATCAATTCTGAATAATTTTTAAAGAGGTATTGATTGTACATCTTCCACTTCTTCCTGAAACAGAATTTTGGCCAGGCAAAGGGGACAGAAAAAAGATAACTTCAAAGTACTCCTAATGAACATTTCATCTAAACGTTGCACAGCTGCACCACTGCCTCTCCACAGCCCCTTAACCATACCATCAAATTAGAGTGATATCGAGTCAAGTTTAAGCAATCCAGCTTAAACTAGAATCAAAGACTTTCATCTCAACTCGAACCAAAGTTTAAGTCAAGCCAAATTTAAATGAATTTGAGTTGAACTTTGGCATGATCCTAGTTAAATCTATGAATATTTGAATTTTATTTTATGGGAGAAGTATATGGATAACACCCAAAACTTGCCAAGTTACAAAAAAATAGCTCATATCATTTTTTTTAAACTACCAAGCACAGTATTTGGGAACTTCCTGATCAAACAGATAAGAACATGACAAAAGGGAAAAAATAAAGGCTTGATTTTGCTGTAAATTTCAATATTTGGGCTACAATTTGAAAAAATGAAGATAGAAGGGTCTGAGTTTTGTAAATAGTTAATATTTGGATGTTAAATATGCAATTTATGAGACAATTTTTCAAATGTAAATCAACATTAGTGTGTGTGTGTGTGTGCACGGGTGTATATATATACTTGAATTGAACTAATTTCAAGCCAGTTATCTTTGAGCCGGAGCAAAGAGATCTAGATTTTGAGTAAATATAAAACTCCAAGTGAGTTTCCAGTGTTAGAATTAACAGCCATACCTTCAATGGTTCAAGCAATTTATCATTGAGTCAAATCAAATAGATCTAGATTTTGAGTAAATAAAACTCCAAGTTATCAGCCCTACTTTCAATGAATTGATCCACACAGAAAAAAGTATCATATCTCGAGGAGGCTAGCAATTGTTCCACAGACAGATAAATCAAAGGAAATCTTCAGCTTTCTCCTCATACAGATTCAACAAGACCAATATCCAGAACGAGCCCCAATGGAATCCTAATGTTAAAATATTGCTTGACAGATAATTAATTTAGTAAAAATTTTATCAATAATTATTTAGTTTAGCTTGGAATCAATAATCAATAGAATTAGAAATAAAACTTAAATTGAATTTAATTAATTTTAATCTTATTAATAAAATAATCAAAGTTTGATGATGATTTTTATTCTAAAGAACATAAACAACCTTTTAAATCCAAACAGTTTGACAAGATTTAACCGGATTTACTAAATCACTTGCCAAGTAGTTTTTTGAAATTTAACCCTTCCAGGATTTACCACATCGGGGTTTACACTGACTTAAATCAAACATTCAACCCCTAAAGGGCTATCTGGTAGCAAGATTTAAGCAGTCTTAACCTAAATCCTGCCAAAAGTTTTAAAACGCAAACTTAAACCCTATCAAAAGTTTAAAACACAAACTTAAATCCTGCAGAATTCTGAATCCCGTTTCTCCCCATACCTTAAATCGTGGATTTACCAAACCCCGGGATTCGACAGATTCAACTTAGATCTGCGGGCCTTACGAACTCTTCTTCTCACTCACAAACCGCCAGAAAGCCTCTCCAGCGAGCTCCCGTCGCCGCTTCCTTGCTTCTTCGTCGTCGAGAGTTCAGAAATTTTGGGATGTGCGGGAAGGTCGGGAGGGACGAAAGAGTTCCGGGGATGCGTTTAATTATTAATTTTGATTATTAATTATTTAATAAATAATAATTATTAAGTAAATATATATTAATTAAAAAAATTAGTATTATTTATGATACTAAATATTTTTGTCATGTATGTAAATAGGAAATTTTAGTTGTGGGAAATGTAAATACATAAGAATTGTGTGCTATGTAGGCAAACTTTCCTTAAGAAATAATGAGCAACATTAATTTAATCAATTTAATCAATGAATATTTTAATTTTTATTTATTTAATCTAATAAATTTTAAGATAGATTAAGTAAATGTAGTAAAATCTCATAATCATATCGATTCTTATATTCTAAAATAAGTTATGGAATAATAACTATTTAAAATATTGAATATAACATTTTAACCACCCAATTTTTAAATGTAACATTTCAATCATTTTTTTTTTTTCATTACAATCATCCACTTTTACCCAATAATGAAGGCTTTGAGTGAAAATTTTGGGTGGTTAAAATATTAAATTTAAAGTTTTGAGTGGCATAAGTGTTTAAAGTGTTATATTTAAAATTTGGTGGTTAAAATATAATATTCAATGTTTTGGGGAGTGTTATATTTAAAATTTTGGTGGTTAAAATATAATATTCAATGTTTTGGGGGGTGTTTAAGTAAAAACCCCATTAGTTACATCCAATTGGCATTTGACACACCATATCCTCACATATTTAGGGTCTGTTTGTGACAGCTTATTTGGTGCGATGGCGTTTTGAAAACGCACATGGCCTGTTTGGGTAAACTGCGTTTTGGCAGCTTATGCGTTTTCAAAACACATAAAACTGTTTTTTCACACCTCACATATCTAGGTGCGGTGGGAGCTTATTGGCAATGGTCTGATTTTTCCAAAAAAAATAAAAATTTGTAATAGTATAAAAATTTGTAATAGCCACAATAGTCACCACACCTAACTTATCAGCAAATTATTTTAATTAGCTTATCAGCAGATTATTCAATAAACCACAGCTGCCCCAAACAGTCCCTTAATTCAACTTTAATTTATAAGATTTATTAAATCCTACTTCGCCAATAAGATAATTTCATGATGGAGGAATTTTAAAATGAGCTGTTTAAAAAGCAAATAAATTTTAAGGCCAAATGTGAGCCAACATTATATTTCTATGAAAAAGTTATGGTTTGCTCTCTTTTAGACGTTTTTAGTAAACTTAATTAGAAACACAATTACATATTTATATGTGCAAAGCCTCAAAATGAAGGCCTAATTGTTTAGATACAAAAGCATCTAACATTAGGCCATGATGGATTGCATATAATTTGCATTTCAACAATTAAATAAGAAAATAAAAAAGAATTAAATTTTGAAAAATAAATACATTAGATATTATGTCAAAAATATAAAATGACTATGTTGATTGTTCGAACTACATGTGAGACATGATTAGGCCTTTCCATTCAAGAAATTTTATTTCATATATTTCAGAGTACTTATATTTGGACACATATGTCCATATATTTTTAATTAAAAATATGAGCAAATTTTAGTTTGGACAAGCATCAATGAATATTAGAAAAGGCAAGAGCTTGAAGCAGACTTGGATGGATGAAGGACTTCTAATAAGCTAGAGATATTCTTGTCAGTAGACTATTGCAACTAATTCATTTGATATTGTAACAAATTTTAATTTAGTGAGGACATTTATCATTATAATTATTGAATTTTGATTAGTGTCATACATGTAGTTAGTTACCATAATAAAAATTTGTTAGCTACAATGCTTGAAATCTTTTAATTTGAAAATAACATAAATAAGACTTGAGAACTAGCATGGCAGCTCAAAGAATAACTTCTGTATTGATTCTTTCTTTCTTTTCTCTTCTTTGTTGCGGGGATAGAGGGAGTGATTTAGGGAAATGTAGAGGGGTAGCAATAACATTTCATACCCAAAATAAAGCTCAAATTGCATAATGTAACCCCCTTCGCTCGTTTCAACTTTCGCTGTCAGTGGCTTGACGCCAAAAAACACCAAGGAAGCAGCCTCTCAAAGCACCGATCGGTGTTTTGGGGACGAGAAGCTCCAAAACAACGTCTCTTACGCACCCTAAATAAAGTTTGAAGTCGCACCAACTACTAATTTACATCATTAACTATGATTAATATGTAAGATAATTTACATGCTTCTGTGTGTAATAGATGGATAATATCATTAGTCCCTTAAGTTATACCAAATAAAATTAGTGGATTTAAATTCATCCATTTGTGAATATCTCATATTTATTTACATAATAATTATATTTTTAATAACATATACATAAGTTTAGTATTCATATCACTAAATAAATAAAATTAAATATTAAATATTTAAATATATATTCTACTATTAATAATTTTTGTGGAAAAAATGGTAGAATTTGTTATGTTAGGAATTTGATTTTAAGCAAATAAATTAAAACAGAAAATTTTTATTGAGTGATTGAAGGTCGTCCAATTTTAGATAAAAGTGATTGTAAAATTTGTTTGGGGAAAATAATATTTAAGAGGTTGGTATAAAAATTATAAATATTTCTAACAAAATTAAATAATAACATTCTTATAAATATAACATTTAATCTATTTAATTGTAAAAAATAATATTCATAAGAAAATTTAGAAAAAAAATTGAAATTAAAATTATGATGTCAAATTAATCTTTGTGGTACTGTACAACATTATGGCTCCTAAATTTTATATTTCAAATATTTTAAAAAGGGTCGTACTGGTATTTTTGGTATTTTAAATATGTGAGTCTAGGACTGTCAAAAAAGCTCGTTGTTCGCGAACAGTTCGTGTTCGATTGGTCAAAAAGTTCGTGTTCGATTCGTTCGATAAGCAAACGAGGCGAACACGAACAATTTTTTCGTTTGATTTATTAAATGCATCAAACACGAACAGTGATGCATTCGTTCGTGTTCGAATCGTTATTGTTTGAAATATAAAAAAAAATTAATATAAATATATATATATATAATTTATCATATTTTAAAAATAATTATATACTAAAAAAGTGGACATATTTTAAAAATTAAATCTTATGAATTATAATGTACAATAAATTATTAATAATAATATATTTATATACTATACTAGTAATATAGATATTATATATTTATATAATATAAGGTATATAATTAATATAATATATTATATATATTATATATATTAATATATACAAACAATGTAACAAATAAAAAGCCTTATTACCGCGGAAGCCCTAACCCTAACTTCTCGAGTCTCAAACGTGTTTGCCCTTTCCCTCTCACGCCGCTCTTTCTCCTCTCTCGAAAGCTTAGTTTCAGCTGCTCCTTCTTCTCTCAAGTTCGTGAAAAGCTTCCTCTCGGTGATTGCGAGAACCCTCCTCCTATCAAAATCGTGAAAGCTTCTCTCAGTGAGAATCCTCCGTCTTCTTGTCTCAAAATCGTGAAAAGTTTTATCTTGGTGAGAGCTTAGGGTTGATTTTTTTGTGTTCGTTCTCTAATCTCTACTTCTATTTTTCTTTGATGAAGTATATTTTTCCTCAGCAAGTCGGCGTTGGATCGACCACTCTCGGTATTCTTGCTTCGGTGTTCGGTTGCTCGATATTCTTGCTTGGTTGCTTGTAAGGCTACCTAGTCGTCTTCTTCGAGAATATTTTCTGTAATATTTGATATTTATCTTCAGGTTTGCCTCTTAGCTTAAACTTTCAGAAATTTTTTTAGGTTTATTTAATTTTTTTGAATGAAACCTAGGTTTTAAAGTTTTTTGGAGTGAAATCCATATATGTTTATCTTCATATTGACTGTAGATCTACTTTTTTTGTGAGCACTGAGCTCTATTTGGGATCTTGGGAGTGAAATCCAGATACATCTATTTGGGATCTTGGGAGTGAAATCCAAATACATGACTGATGCTAATTATTTTGGCATTATGTTTTTCATTGGTATGTGATTGTGATTGAATGAAGGGGCGAGAATGAGTCATGTAAATTTGTTTGAAAGGTAGTTTGATACCGTTCGGTATCATGATAACTTTGATTGTTATCAGTTGTTAGGGTAATTCATATGAATGGCCATGTAAATTTTAGGGTGTTTTTATGGTGTATTTTTCTGTTTATAGAACTTGTTGTGCTTCTCCGCATATGAAGAGACTTCCATGAAGGTTAGTTTGTTGTATTACTATCAATACAAAACAAAGCATTACAAATGCTTTGTTATTACAAGAACGTTCTCACAGATGGCTGTTACTTATAAATGATGGGGAAGTTAGTATAACGGATGAGCATGCATCAAGACACCGCTTAAGTATATGTATTATTTTTTTTTCTTTTTCTTTATTGAGTGCATCTAATTTTAACTACAACTTGTTATTTTAGGATATAATATTACTTATGAGCGATATCTTATTCATCTTATGAGCATAGAAGCATTACTTTCAAACAATGTGGCCCAGATTTGCATTGGCTATGAAAAAATTTAGAGAAGCCTTATTGTTCTTTCTTCTGTTGGAGACTTCTTCATAAGATAACTTGTGTTAGCCACATGACATTTCAATTGTTCATATTAAACTTTCTATGTTGTTTTACACTGAAGGAACTTGGAGTGGTTTCTCTTGTGCAAATATTAAATTGAGGTTTATCATTTTATTGCAGCAAAAAAAAGCTAAAAGCAATAGATGGATTTGAGGGTGCCTTTGAGTATGAGTTACGTTTTGATTTTTTTGGAGTTTAAGAAGCAAAGCAAAATGTTTAGAGCACTATTGTTCTATCTTTCTTTCACACTTCAAATATCTTACAGTCTAATTTGCGTTATTTTTGAGAATAATGATAGTTATAATCATATGTGTTACGGACCTTATGGTACTTCGTTATTGATAATATGGAAACTTGTTACTAACAAGTTGTTAGTGAATAGATGATATTTATTTGGGAAATTTACTTTTATACCACACACTTATTATAAGGGATTAGATATGCAAATTGTATTATCCTTTAAGGGT